CCTGGCTCACCAGCACACACTCATCGGCCCCCACGTCACCGCGCTCAACACGCGACAGTTCAGACAGCACCGTCCCGCCCAGGCTCTGCACCAGATCCTTCAGTTCCTCGTCCGTAAACTCGTCCCAGTCACCCGTCAGCGCCACGTGGAAGCCGGCGAGCGGCTCCGTGTCCATTTTCGCGCGCTTTGACGGCGGTTGGGAGGGCTTGCCTTGGGAGGACCGTCGCGGTAATGGTTCACCAGGCGTCGGAACCATCGTACCCATGGCACTGTCAGACCCGTTCCTGCGCACGTGCTGCTTTGCTGTCGTGCTCGCCTTCTTCGTCAACGGCTTCCTTGGCTTCACGGCTGCCGCTGCTGTTGTTGCTGCTGTAGCTGTAGCTGTTGCTGTTGTAGCTGTTGCTGTGGCGTTGTGAGGATGACGATGATGAGGACGATGATGGTGACGATCACCGTCCACAGCAGCAGCGCGACCACGGGCTTCGTCGCTGGAACGCCTGCCATTCGCCGCCGTTCCATCACGTGTGCGGGAACGCGCCGCCCGCTGCTGCTCAAACCAGGCCGCCTCCTCCTCCCACGTCGGCGACGATGATCGCACGCCACCGTGATCGCCGTCAATACCATCAATACCATCGTCACCATCGTCATCATCATCGTCAACAGCAGCAGCTGGTCGCTGACGAGACCGAATTGCTGTGGATGATTTCATTGTTGATGGTGTTGCTGATGAGCGTCGTCTTGCCGCTGATGACGCAGCACGCCTCTGAACACCACCATTGTGCAATGACTGCGCGGGTTGTTCCCCTTCTGCTTGCGCTTGGTCATGTGCAGCTGCGATGACGGACGGGTGCAGTGCAATCTGCTCCTGACCCACCACGAGCCGCGACGGTGGGCGACGGGGAAGTGTGCGCTGCACGGAGCGAGGACGACGCAGGCCGGAGCGACGTGTCGTGATGGTGTTGCCACTCTCGTTCGTGGTGGTGTGCGATGACAGCGGTGTCTCCGCAATGCTTCCGGGCGTGCAACCGTCGTCATCATCGTCATCATCACCTCCATTGTCGTCGTTCTCACCGTCGTCTGCACCGGACGTGTTATCATTTGCACCTGCAACATCAGCCTGTGTGTGCGTGTGCGTGTGTGTGTGTGTGTGTGTGTGTGTGTGTGTGTGTGTGTGTGTGTGTGTGTGTGTGTGTGTGTGTGTGTGTGTGTGTGTGTGTTGGGGCCATCCCTTTGTGTGAGTGTCCTGTGTGTGTGCGTGTGTGTGTGTGTGTGTGTGTATTACTTTATTGGAATA